AAAGAGTTTAGTTTTCACTCCCAGGATCTTCAATCTCTCGCAGTTACCTCCCAGCATTAAGCGTTACAAAAGAGGTGCCATTCACCAACTAAATGAGTTAGTTCCCAGTCAAAGGGTTAAAACAACCAACTCCATTAGAAAAGAGGAGAAAGATCTAAGAGGAACTCAGATCATATGCCAAACTAGGTACTAGTTAATCAATAGTATTCAAAGGTGAAGGCCACATAGAGGAGCCAGGAATCATTGCACAAGTTAAGCAAAGTTTAGCGAACAGCTAGCCTGATAAAGCAAAGCTTTAACTATTTTCTGTGAAAAGTTCCACCTTTCCTTTAACCTGGCTCTGGAACAGGGACCAATCTTCTCTGTGACTGACTCATGAACTCAAAGGTTTCAATGGAAGGTCTGAGACCGTCCCACAGGCAAAACCTCTTTATTGCCCAGACAGTTCATATACTATGCGTTACGTATAATTCTCCTATTCATGGGTCTCTTGATCCAAACTGTTCTGGTAAAAGGGCTTGTGGGCAGTTTACTTTCTGTCCAATGACTTCATTGCAAAGGATTTTTCTTCTCTGTCAAGCTTGCCATGTGCAGCTTTCCTTCCTCTTGTTTCCCTCCTCTTGTTTCCCAGTTTCTGGAAATAATTTGTGGTTTGGAAATGGAAATGCCCTTGTAGGCTTCAAAGAGCTTAAAGCTTGCCATACCAGATCAGTTCATTGGATCCATCTAATCTATTCTCCTCTTTCTAGCCATGACCAATACCTGGTACTTCAGAAAACAGCACAACTTCATAGGGACAATGGCATACTTTAACTTTAGGCAGAGTCCCTTTTCTGAATGGATGAGGAGCTGTAAAAGCATCCTTCCCTAGATTTTCTGGGAGGATTCTTCAAGGAATCAACTAAATGCCAAACAGAGAACCCCCTCACCAAGATAAACAGACTTAAGGGGTACAAAGTACATAAAGGCATATCAAAAGAGGGCTTTCCAAAACATCGCACAACAAACACAGCTCAGCCCCTTCCAGGACTGGCTTGGCTCCCTTCCCCTGCTCAAAGAAGTTGGCAAGCAAATCTTTATTGTAAGAGACAGAACAGAAGCCGTAGGGGAGGTACTGAAATCTGGGGATAATTCACAAAATCCTGGCCTGTACTGTAGAAAAAAGCTAATGTTATTTATCTGTCATCTGTACTTCTTGTGTTATTGCTGGTAAATTTAAACAGGTAAAAGCAACCTATTCACATCTCATTTTCAGCTAACATCTTTTCTGACTTCTCTGAAATTAATGGCAAGTATGTATAAGCTAGAACAGACATTGTCTGGTGCCTTTATTCATATCGAGGTAGTGCTGTGCCTCACAGATGTCCTACATACTGCAGCTGGATTAACTATTGGATAAGGTACTATTTAGTATTGCTAAGATACCAGACTCCGTCTCTTAAAACGCTGCCATTTTCCCTAAAGAGCACCACCGACCTTCTCCAGGCCTGGTGATTCCATGTGGTCATGCCTGGTCTTTTTCCATGGGCAACCAGGAGTGGTGAAGACATGTAGTTGGACTGCAGTCTGCATCTGGAGACTTGGTATTACCCTGGCAGAGAGCTGGCTGGCAGACTGCCTGCATTCACCTCAGTTTGAGCCAGGACTGCATTCCCGCCTGGAATGGCTGCAAGTCCTCGAGGGTACCACTCTTGGGATGAGGGAAACTCCAACCACAGGACATCTGCCAAATGAGATGATGTAATGACTGGTGTTACATTGCCACCTTGTGGAGAGCTCCCACTGGCAACAGGCTAATAAAGATGGCTGACTAATGAGTTATGGCTCTACTGCAGCCATTGCATGCCACAAGATGTGTAAAGAAGTTATCGTGCAACCACAACGGCTAAACACTTCTCCCTTTGCTATGACCGAGTGGGGCACTACACGTTGCTGTTATTTCTCCTCCAAGTGGTGAAGCACAGAGGCTCCATGCAAGGCCTGGTGGTCCAAAGAGTGGACAATATTGTCCCATTGCTTTAGTACTTGTATCTGCAGATTCAGTATTAACACTGAGTATAGCTTTACCCAATGCGAAATGAGAATCTGGTCCTAGGCCTGCTTTCGGCGGGTAGGAATCTGTGATATCACAGTTGCCATTAATTCTTATAGTGCCGCTAGGCACAGAAAACCAAGAGTACGGCTCAGCTTTGTGAATCCAGGCCTTCTCCACATGCTTGAGAAGAGAACAAAGAAAAATGTATTTCCTTTCGTTAAGTACAGAAGAAGCCTCTGGTGGCAATGGTTTTTGTATTAGTGGTGTCCCCAGAGAGGTTCAAATATACAAATCCACAGCATGCTCCTCCTGTTTGTATGATGGAGTACTGTGCTGACAGACTGGAAGAGAATTACTGACAAGCGCTACCATGTGGACTCTTACAGCGATGCCATGTATTGATTTCCATCTGGTGATGATGTGCACTTTTGCGATTGCATTGACATCATGCTCCCTCTTAAAAATCTGCAGACTGAGTTTAGTTTTTGGAATGAAAAGTATTAGCATTGTTTATTATTTATACAGTGCTAAGGAGGTCTGTGACTTTACAGGCCTTTACAATTACAAAATGAAAAAAAGGAAAAAGAAAAATCACAGGTGCCTGCCCCAAGGCTCTTAGCAAGAAAAATTAAACACGACACATCAAGAAAGGCAAACCCAGAAGACAGGAAGGTGGGTTCCAAGAGCAATGCATGCGAAGTATGATGCACAGACAACTTGTCATTGCCTGTGTATCACATTCTGTGTATCACATCGGAGAACAGTAATGGCTCTGAAGGAGATAAAATACATATGGCACTGATTAGAGGAATCAAGCTGCCCTCCCATGTCATCCACTGCCAACTCAATGCTCTATTCTCCATCCATGCTAGGGGAAAGAAGATGCAACTTCTATCTGCAAGGCACACTTCTCTCCTGCTCCCCTACCCATCCACTCGAGCTCAAGAACAACAGAGGATGAACTTGGCATCCTTGGCTACAGACATCTTGTAGGATAGATATTGCCAGGGGACTGAATGTTCTGCTCCTGACCCTGAAACTTACTCCAAAGATTAAGATTAACATGCAGGTGAATATCTGGAAGTAAGTAAAGTTTCTCCCGTGGATTTGAGGAAGGTGGCAGATCACGCTTACAAGTGTCTGTAGCGTAGCCTGAACTTTTCAAGACCTTGAAAGGGGAGTAGTCTTTGTTTTCAAAGGACTCTGGTACCTTACCAAAGGTGATTTATTCTTTTAGATGCAAGCTATGGAAAACATTGGCCAACATCTCCTGCTGGGAGTAAAGGGAATAAGCTTGAGCTCCAGGATTTGTGATGGGACTTCTGCTAAACCCCAATTTCCAGTAAATTCAATATCTCTTAGAAATAGACCTACTGAGATGTGAAACTCCCCTGGTACTTACGAGAGGGCAGAGATTTTTACCTTTCTTTGGATAAGGGTCTGTCTGACAAAGGCAATGGTGTTGGCAGAGTATATTTGCTTTTCTCCAAGGCATATAATTTGATACCTTTACAATACCTTGGTTAAGAAATAAATACTGTGCCCTATATGGAAATAGTAAGGCATGCATTACAGTTATCAAAATGTGTTTCAGTGACAGATATCAACATGCAATTATTAATGGAGAGGCATTACAATAAATCGGACGATTATTAACGAGACCCTTTAGAAACCGGTTATTCATTCAAAGTGTTTAGCTTTTTTAGCAACAGTCTAGATAATGCAAAATCTGTGATAGCAGAATTTGCAGATGGTGCACGGATTGCTGAGATAATAAAGAAGGATGAAGACAGGGTGTATTAGAGGGATACATGGATTACCTGCTTAAATTATCACAATCCTCTCTGTGCATTTTACTAAAGGACAAGTGAAATGCACCATACATGGCAATAAAGGCAGAGATTCAGTCTCCCCCCTCATCTCTCACCCCTAATAGAAGCATCTAAAATAGCAGTCTGCTTGGCCTAGGCTTCCTTGACAACCTGTGAAGGAAAGCTGGCCTCTCCAATGGGCAAGCTGGCTAAAATGTGAAAGGCTGAAGCAAGGATCTACGTTCAGGGTGAAAACCTCTATCTTGGAAAGCACAGGTTCAGCAAAGGACATAAAGAACATAAAAATGAATCATCTCAGAATGAGATTTTGGTGCAGTGCTTTGATGACTAACGTGATCTTGGGGTGTGTAAAAAAAAGATTATCAAGTAGAAACAGGGAAGTGGGTTCTGCCCTTGGGTTAACCACTATTAAAATCATTAGAAGAATAATATCTCCAGTTTTGGCATTCCCAATGCAGGAAGGATATGGAAGTCTCAGACAGAGTTCCAAGTAATGCCACAAAAAGACCTTGTGAGAGAAAATAAATCTTGCAAAGTGATGAGTAAAGCATTTAATCTACTGAGATTAGTCAAAATGGGACTTGTTTTTTTTATATATAGGTACTTTCACGCGGAAAAAGATATCTTATAGGTAACACCTTTTCAGCCTTTCAGCCAGAGATAAAGAGATTCAGGCACACTTCAGATTGATGTTAGACAAACGTAACTTCGAAGCAAGATTTAATTTCCTAGCTGTGTGGGTAGCTTAATATTACAGATGCAATGAAATCACAAACTATTTGGACTCTCAGATGAGAATGGACATTTTACCACCTTGTCACTTACGATTACATGGGAGTGCTTTGGTTTAAGAGCATGTGCATGTGCTTGGACAGAGCAGCTAGTGCATGGTAATTCATCACCTTAAGATAACCTGCTTTTGGATCAATATCCTTCATAAAACATACTCCGTAGAAGCTTGTAAGAAAAAAATCTGCAAGCTATTCCAGAGGAAAAAAATACAGAGGCTTGTAATAGTCTATTCTTACCCAGTGATCAAAGAAAAAGAGGTCTAAAATTAGAAATAATGAGGTATTAGGAAAGAAAAGAGAGAAGCTACACATCTTTGTGTCAAACTGGTAAAAGTCACTTACGGAGGGTGAGGATGGACAGCTCCATTATGACAGGCTCAGTAGCTTCTGCACCACAGGGTCTCCATGTCCTCCTGACAAACCCTCCTGAGCTGCCAAGCTTTCACCTGTGATCTTCGACACCCTTAAAAGCAATGAAATAACAGTTGCCTAGAGGAGCAGTTCTGAGAGATGGGAGCTCTCCTTCTTTGGCTGAACCAATGGTCTGCTAAATCTAAAGATGCTAATTTCAGTGCCAGTTGGTGTGTTCTTACAATTACCCTAGCAAAAAAAGCCAATTTATGTGCTTTTCTCTGTTCTTATGCTGCCTCTTAAGCTTCCTAGGTTCTACAGGCCTTTCCTATTCTCTTCCTCCATGGCTGAGCCTCCAGCTTTCTTCCTGATAATCTTCACAAAACACTTCTACATTCACTACAGCTAAACTTGTGCAACCCTACAAGTCAATCATGTGGAGACAACATAAAATAAATGGGATTGAATACCAAGACGAAACAGAGGAGATTGTACTTGAGTGTATTATTCATTTCCATATTTAATTCATTACACTTCTTCTCTTTTTTTCAATTTATATGGAGCTGTAACACATTTTCCAGCCTGCTGTGCTGGAACGCTGCAGTGTCAAGGGACTTTGCGGTTAAATGTAAGACCTTGTTGTTGCATTGTGCACTGGGCCTTTGTCCTCAGGAAACCGACAGCTCCAAGTTAGATAACGACTGGTAAATCATCATCTTAGCTAAGTGTTTGCAAAGGCAGGTAGGAGGCCACGAAGGAGGGGTTTTTTTAGAGCAGAGAAAGAGAGAAACCCCTTTCCCAAGTGATTACCAATTTCTCTGGCCACGCATCTTTGAAGTCCAATCCTAAATCCCCCCCTCTGTCCTCCTCGATACTGCCATTTCTGGACTGCTTTTCAGGTTGGAAGACAACTACTTTCTGGGGGCTCTCAGCAGGATGTGAAGGACAGATGAGACCCAGACCAGAAAGAGGAAAGATGCCTTTTCTGGTGGAAAAAACATAAGCCAATTTAATTTTGTACTTCAGCAGTGGTCATTCATTATTCTGTAAGGGTTAAACTTGCTTGGAGAGCACATGGGAGAAAGCCTACAGTGGTTGGTTGCAGAGACCGGATAAGATGACTTAATACAACATGTTTTCTTTTCCAGCCCTGATTCTCGTGATTTTGTAATAAGTAAACCTTGAATTAGCTAGTGCAATCTCTCTCCCCTGTTCTCTAACTCTTCTATAAATTCAACCTCACACCTTTGCGATCAGCTGTAGTTTTACATTCCCTCCATGGAGAGAAAACTGACGACTCCGCTCCCTGCCTGGAAGTCAGGGTTGCATTCCTCACCCCAATTTGAGCCCTGAGCAATTCCTACCTCACTCAGCTGAGGTTTCACTTGAGCACTGGTAACTATTTTTTTTTTTTCTTATTTTTGTTCATCTGTACATGAAGTAATACAGTCCCATGGTGTCATGTTGATGCAAGTAGAAGAGAAAAATAAAATACTTAATCCTAGCCAGATGAAAGGGGGAAAACCAAACCAAAACAAAAAACAAACAAAACCCTGAGTTCCCCCACTCTCTCGCTTGGTTAATTTTTCTTCTGAAGCCAGCTGTTTGACAGATGGCCTTAAACTTGCATTCACTAGCCTTGGATAGTCTGAGGGTCTCATTCTGTTCTTTCTGTTGCTGTTTGGAAAACAACTGGATGGGAGTCACTGCTCTCCACATTCACAACTGCACAGCAAAAATATACTGCAGTGACATAGGTTGTATGCAGGATACAGGAATCTGGATCCAGAAGCAGATTAGGCTGTGGGGAGAGGCAAGTTTGAACAGAGTCTTCGGATTGCATTTCCTGCTCTTGAAATCTCCACAGGCTTGACTTTTGGATGGTAGGAACTTGGTGAGAATAAACTTGATCTTGCAAGATTTCTACCAGTAGATTTCTAACTGCACTTTCGTGCTTCTGGAGGCTGCCCTACTGCCATCCCAGTGCCTGCAGTTTGGTTGGCTGGATCACAAGCTACTCAAGGCAGAAATTTTCAGATTTGTATGTGTGATCTAAGTACCAGGAAGATGCAAGGTGTTGGTCCCCAAGGGTGAGAATTTACACTAGAGATAAGGAAAAGGAACATATTTCTACTGAGCACAGTAAGGCAAACTATTGCTTAGACAATGGTGAAACAAGCAGACTGAAAAGAGAGAAGGATAATGGGATTTAGCCCTTGTGATAAGGAAGGGAGGTGACTTTATTACTGCCTTTGGCTTCTCGCTTTATTCAACTTGCCCTTCAGCTTTGAACAAGCACCTTTTGAATCTCATGCATCTTCTCCCCTTTGCAGGGCAAGTGTTATGTACTATTTTGGGCTCGTATACCATCCGTGCTACGCAAAAGGTAGTTTGGGGCCTGCGAATGTTACTGTAGTACTAATCATAGAGACAGAAAAGATGGAGAGCAGAGAGAGACTGCACCAAAAGTTGGTGCCAATAATGTGTCTGTGAAATAAAGAATGGACAAGAGCGGAGAAGAAAGAAAACAAGCAGAAAACAAAAGGGATGGAGAAAAAAAAACAAACTCTTCAACAACAGCCCAAATGAGTCCAAACAGCATGCATGAGAGCATCATACAGGGGAGAGGTGACTGTCATATGGACAGTGAAATGCAATCTCTATCTGACAAAGAAAGAAGACCCGCAGCAGGATGGAAGAATATGGGTCCGACTTCCCTCTGGCTTTCCTTGTTCACTGGGCTTTTAAAACTCCTAGATAGCTCTCATTGGCCACTGGAATCGAGAAAATACCAAAATGAGACCCTCCCCCCGCCCCGACACATTAATTTTCATTATGTTTCCACACCCTATTTCCAAAGCATTTCTCATAACTACGTGGAAAGATACCGCAAATCACTTACGGAACATCAGGTGACAGAGGAAGAGTTATGACACAAGATCTGTTTCTAAATGCTATTTATTGTATTTTTAAACCCATCCTCAGTATTAATAAACAATGTATTTTCTTACTTGCATGTTCTTACACAGCAAACACAGAGCAAACCTGATCAGCGAATCTTGTTTATTCTTCAATTGACCCATGCACAGTTTCCTGGCTGAAAGTCTATCACAAAGCAATACAAATGTCACACAGGATCGGCTGTGTTTAAGAGCTTTGTGAAAGAAGTATATTTTGCAGGAAGTACTTGAAAGATGAGATAGAGATTGTTCAAAGTGCAAGGGATTTGGTCCAAAGCCCGCTGAAGCTGATGGAATGACTTCAACTGATTTCAATGGTCTTTGGATGAGAACCAAGGAGAGAAGAACTAGCGCCAAGCATAAAGGGCAACATAAAAGAAGGCATGAAAAATAAAATTCAAATTCAAAATTAGACGTGATGGGAGAAGTCCTGGTCATACTGAAGTCTAAGACAGTTCTTCCATTAACTTCAAAGGGATCAGGATTTCTCCAAGTAAATTGTTAAATGAGACTGTTATGTACCTATTGCTGAAATGGTCCACAGTGGCGCGAGGTCTCGGATCCAAACCTCCTCCTTCACCATGATTCACAGGCTGACACTACAAGCCATGGTACATGGTCCTCACCTAGGAGGAAAGGAACCATGCCTAATAAGAAGACAATTCATCTTCTGTGCCTACGTGATGGTGTCTCTGTTGAGATCAGCTAGTGTGTGCCAGCTGTTGTGTTTTTCATCTGTCCCACTACACTGACATTTAATTCAGACCACTGCCATCAGATGCCAACAGCTCTAGCTAGTTGGCATATGGTTGTTTTTGATGTAACGCTTTTCAGATCGGAAAATGCCAATCCATCAAACCCAATACTTTTGATGTGGAGAGATTTCAAACTCCCCCCATTTTAAAATTCCAATTAAAAAAAAAATCGCTGTTAACAAAAGAGTAAAATACAAAAAAGAAGTCAGTACTGAAATTAAATGTTTAGCTAATGCCAAAGGAAAAAATTTTGAACTTGGGTTTTCATTTTGCAAAAAATTTTTGAAATTCTGGCAGTTAGCCCAAGTTTTAAACCCAGGTTCAGTTAAAAAAAAATCCTGAAAATATTCACAGGATAGGAAAGGCATTTCCTGCCAACTCTATATTGGCTTACAGTGATGACGCATGCAAGCTGGATTTGAATTAGCAGATTAGGCCGAGATCCAAAAAAGGGACCTAGGCACTTAAAGTGGGACTGAGGTATGCAAGTCCCAAACAAAGGTTCACCAAAGTCCTTGGAAACCACTGAGTTTTCAAAATTAATAATTCTGCTCTGGACCATGCCTCAAAATACCTCTTCCTTGATAGATTGCTCCATGCCCGCTTCCCCTCTTCACCCAGCAGAGACACTGAACTAGCCCTTCCCAGGTGCCTCTGGAGCAGGCCCACCAAAATCAGGGCCCTTCAAACGCGTAACAGCAACTCCATTTTTCTTCCAAAACACAAATAGAGGAAGAGGTGGCACCACCTTATCATACAATCGTTCAGCACTGGGAGCACACACCCAGGCAGAGCTGGGCTGATTTCCCTCTCCTGAGAGGGCCCAACCTCATGTTGCAGAGGGTGCCCCCACCAGAGCATTCCCTCTCCTTCCTATTGCACTCATACCGCGTGCAAAAAAGATTTAAAGAATGTTCTCAGCCCTAGTCTCTCCTACCAAGTTTAGTCTAAATACCTGATCTCATGATTTTCAACGTGTAAATGTAAAAAACATTCTTGGAGGAAAAACAAACCCAAAAGACACATGCTTTCTCTTCAGGAGAGGCCTTCAGATTTGAGACACCCCCTTGTCCTCGCATTGCCTGCTGGCTGTTTCAGACAGCTCCCCAGTTAGCACTAGTGTTCATGTTTCCTATCTTCTTTGTCTAACTTCCCCCATGAACTGTAAGAGGGGCTCGGGCCCCAGTTCACTGGGTCAGGATGAGGCTGTTTGGATCTCGACCTTGTGTCCTGTGACAGACACCAGGCCAGTAACCCTAGGAAGGGGACAGAGCCTACTGCCAAGCATCAGGGACACTGAGCACCGTTATACTTGCCTGTATGTATACGGAACTGGGAATTATACTTCCTTGTTTACATTTCCTTTTTTCTTATTTTGTCACCCTTCTCC